CTCTGTTCTTACGAGAGTTCAATGGAATCGATTGCGAAGAACAGAAAGCCTTCGCTCTTGAGTTGCGGTAAAATGAGCTCAACGTTTAACTTAACCGATACCTCATATACGAGTTGTGGTCCGCGTTCACTGCCCTTCAGTGTAGCCAACAGTGCAAACAATTCATTAAAGAGCGGCTCAACAGCCGGCAAATGGCGCGGACTTATACTTATAGTACCCGTGAGATTAGGTTCGGATCGACTGAACCCGATATACATCCCGTGCGTCAAACAAATGCTTTCACACAACAACTGTTTGGGAATAATTGGCGGAAAACCTAAACATTCGCTGTATTTCATTGGATTTCAAGAGGAAAAGTTGGTTTACATCGACCCTCACTATTGCCAGAACTCTGTTGATGTGAGACAAACCAATTTCCCATTGGATTCATTTCATTGTGATATTCCCCGCAAGACGTCCATCTCATGTATGGACCCGAGCTGTGCGCTCGCCTTCTACTGTCCCACACAATCGGATTTCTTTGATTTCGTCAAAACCATGAAAGAACATCTCATTCCTCCGAATCAGTCTTCAGATTATCCCATTTTCATCTTCAATGACGGCAGCAGTCATTCATTCGACAACAGCTCAGCCAAAGAGGAGATTAAAACGGACCGACTCTTGAAAGTCAGACACCGTTTTCTCAATTCAGACGGAAAAGTGGAGAAAGAGTTTAATGCAGAAGAGTTTGTTATGCTATGAAAGGCTTTAATTATTTTATACAAAACTTTTATATTAAAAATATTTACTAATTATTTGTATTTATTTGATAACACATTCGTAAGAATGGCATCAAAAAAGAGTACTATTTATTGAATCTCTCGATTCATACAATGTGTTCAACAAATAGAGACTCAGTTTTTATCATCACTTTTTTGTCGATTATGTTTATTTAATTGATAATTTAATTTAACCATTAAATCAAAATTATATATCAAATGAATCTTTTATTTCATTTTGTTTTTTATTGTACTTTAAAATTGAAAAAAATATTTACTAATTATTTGTATTTATTTGATAACACATTCGTAAGAATGGCATCAAAAAAGAGTACTATTTATTGAATCTCTCGATTCATACAATGTGTTCAACAAATAGAGACTCAGTTTTTACAAAAGCGTTTTTATCATCACTTTTTTGTCGATTATGTTTATTTAATTGATAATTTAATTTAACCATTAAATCAAAATTATATATCAAATGAATCTTTTATTTCATTTTGTTTTTTATTGTACTTTAAAATTGAAAAATTATATTAAAAATAATGAAAAAATATATAAAATCTAATTTAAACTAGAGTTTGAATACAGTTAATGAGCAGCCGTTCACTGAAAAGGCACAACTGGTTCGGGCATAAGTGTTTGGCTTTGATTATGACCTTATTATATGACTAGTGTTTGTCAATTCACTTCGATATGGCTTTACTTTTAGTGTTTGTTTTAGTTAAATGTTGAGTTAAAATTGGAATTAATTTAGATTAGCTTTAAATAACTTTTCAATAGTTATGTTCACATTATCTCCTAATAGGCTCTGAATAACTTTTTGATATAACTTTTGTTTTCAAAAAGACTACGAATTAAATATATCTGCACTAAACCGACGCTAAACATCACACCGATTGACACCATTGAGAATCGGTTCACGTAATCGTAATTGGATTCCGCGATATTCCGGTCGCGCGTCTCCACCGCTCGTCGGATCTCTTGTTCGTGAGACACGCGAATTAAGTCATCCCTCACTTTGTTTATTGAGGTCTTGAGTGGACAATAAAATTCACAATTAATATAAACACTAAATTGTAGACTAAAAATGGTATTTACTTTAATTGATTCAACAGAATCTAAATACTGGACTTCAGGCGGAAAAGTAAAGTCTCCTTCGAGACCCCAGCGGTCGTTGTCGTCGGCGTTAGAGTAGACATAAACCTCCAAATTGACCACTTTTGCCGATACACTACTGAAACTGTTGTCCAAACAAACGGCATAAACTCCTTGTTCCGGCTTTTAAGACAAATTATACATCAGTTAATCAAATTTCAATTGGTATTCATTTAATTAATATGCCGTTCATTATAACCAATTGTTTATCACAAAACACTTCCTGATTGTCAATAAACGCCGGTTTTGTACAAAATGTGATCAATTGGTTGAAGGCGTGGATTGAGTGCAAGAAGTGAATGATTACCGCTTTATAGACGTGTTGTCCCTCTTTTCGGCGCATTTCGCGGAACACTTCCACACCATTGGGGTCTTTGACAATGAAGTCGATGGTCAGGTCTGAGGAGTGGGAGGGGGTGTATATCCAACCAAATCGTTGCGATATCTCAATCACTTGGTAGGAGAGGTCGAGGTTGTGGTCGCGTTTGACTTCTTGGTAGAAACAGTCGTGTCTTCCCGGCTCCACAGCGACCCTCACCTCAATGTCTTGGGAATCACCCGAAGAACCACTAAATGGCGAGAAAGGGGTCACACTTTCACTCAAAGTAACCCTAATTAGCGTCAATACAGTGACCAATAAAAATGCATGTCTTGTAATCAATTGAATCAAATCTAACGGTGAATTCATGGCTTAATTAGCACTCAATTCGAGTCGAAGGTATTATTGGTGTAAAAGTGAGGAAACAATGAAACAAAAAATTTTGAATTTTCAAAAACTAAAGGAAAAAACAAAACAAAATAAACGATTAATTATTAATATTAATTGAGTGAATGTTTTGCTGTAATATGTAATACATTTACACGTGATTTGAAAGTGAGAGAGACATAGAGAGAGGGAGAGAGAGGGAGAGATAGGAATACATGTCTACTGTATTACAATAGTATTGAATGCAAAGCCTATTGCCATACAATTGTGTGTTGAATACGGCATAGAGTGTACTGTACTCTACAATACTCTACACTACTGTACGGTATATGCAATGAATTGTGTGTTTTGTTTGCTTACTATTCAGTGAATTGAGAATTACATGTTTGGAGAGAATTGGGCCCAGAATTGCAGTCTAATGCACAACAAAACCTCACATAACACTACTCTCTCTCTCTCTCTACTCTCTCACTACACTATACACTGCTATACACTAGAAGATAGACCTAATAATTGGATTGAATGCAAGGCATGGTAGACATGGATTGCATGCATTGAATACATTGAATAGTATTTTCTACAGAATTGTATGGTTAGTAAGGATAGTATGGATTGTATGGATAGTATGTATAGTATGGTTGCCATACGAGTGGTGTATCTCTAGATGTGGCGATCGATGGCTCGGCTGCGCCTCAGATAACAGCATATCGTTGAATATATACTGAACTGAATATTCTGTGCAATGTTTTAGTCGTGGAAAATGGCTGCGAATATGTCTCACTACCAGCTCTTCATTTTCTGTCTCATAAATACTATTATCATCAATACATTCCTCTTCGGTGTAATCACTGCCACCACTCAGCCGGAGGTCTACTTCGAGGCCGCCTTTCAGGGTATGTATCCTTTGCATCACTTTTTCCCCTTTAATTCAATTTACTCTTAACTTCACTTTCAAACCATTTTCTCTATTCATTCAAAAATAATTACCAATTCTTTAATTCTGTTGTATTTAATTAACAAAATTAAATAAAAATATAATATTAATATCATGTTTAAGAAAATTAATAACGAGGTTATCATTAAGTTGAGAGAAAATATAGTTTCCTAATCTATGTTCTATTCGCTCTATTTATTCAACAAAAACACTGTATAACCAAAAAAGTTCACTCAATTATAATAATATTTTTCTCTGTTTGTTTAGTTACAAAAACATTGCTTTTCATTATATTTTATACATTAAGTAAATTACAAGATGTGAAAATCATTGCTTATTATCTGTCATTCTCTATATCAATAAGTGTTTGATTGATGCGATCGTCGATTCATGTGATTGATTAACAGCAGGAATTGCTTGTTTTGTGTCGATCTTTATCATCATAAATAGTCTTTCATTAAAATAATTATATATTTATTTTATGTTGTTATAGAAAATGATTTATAGAATAAGTATTATGATAAAAATTTAACAGAATTGGGTAAGAATTGGTAATAATTGTGGATTGAATAGTGACTATTGAATAGTGTACTTTATAGTTGACGATGAAATGTATGAAATAATGAATGATAATTGTAATGACAGGTGAGTGCCGTACGTCAGGTCCGTGCCATCAGTTGTGTTTCGATCTACACGACGGCACCTTCGAGTGCGCCTGCAATAAGGGATTCACTCTCGACAACAACGGCTACAGTTGTATCGGTCAGTACTGCAACACATAATTATTTCATACTTTCCTATCATAACTTTGCGATCAATCATCGCATGAAATAATGACAAACAATAAGAATCATTGAATTATTTGAGACAATATCTGTATAACACCGACAATACATCAAATCTTATTATTCTTGACATGTATTTCTTTATTCATTTAAATCACAAAATATTGCTTTAAAATTCACGGATTTAAAGGCAAAAAGTGTTGAATAAATTTAAATGTATTTCAATATATCATAAACATCAAATCTTATTATTCTTGACATGTATTTCTTTATTCATTTAAATCACAAAATATTGCTTTAAAATTCACGGATTTAAAGGCAAAAAGTGTTGAATAAATTTAAATGTATTTCAATATATCATATCTAATGCTTCATAAGGAAACTCTGTTTGGGAAAATTTTATCAACATTTTTAATTAAATGTATGTTTGATTAATTAATGCAAAATTGAGTTAAAATGAGATATTTATTATAACTATAAATTATGATTATAACAACTTATTTATTATTAGTGAAGAGATCTGATTTTTTTCATTACAAATATGCTGTGCTATCACTTTAAGTACCACTTCATAAGTCTAGTGCTATGAGTCGTATATAAACCAAAACCAATTTGGGTGTTATTACCGCAACCAAAGACCGACCATTCGCTCCGTCTTTCAAGAAATCATAGCATAAATGCTTATCATTAGATTTTATATCAAACTTTCATTTTATTATCATTCTCTTCAGTCGTTTGTCATTTATTTTAATCATTTATCAATCCATATATTAATATTATAGAGGCAGTATAATTAATATTTGTAAACATAACATGAATTATAGTTCTCTCTCTCTCTCTCTCTCTCTCTCTC